TTTGTTAACAGGGAAATGTTAAGTGATAACATTTAATTAGCATGGGTTATTAATAGCCTGCTGCCTGGATTTACACAGGCGCAAACTCAAGTTTCTGTATAACTGCTGCAGGTCCCTTTTGTGGCTCTTCCTGAATGGGACAGCATTTTTTGAAATCTTTTAGATACATTTTATTTGCCTGAGAAATGAGCACTCCTCTGCGGCCTCTGCATCAGTTCCTGCTTCTAGGTTCCTGCCATGAGTTCCTGCCTTATCTCCCATCAGTGAGGGACTGTGATCAGAACTTACACACAAATGAACCCTTTCCTCCTCCCCAAGCTGTTTTTGGTCAGAGAGTCTTATCCTAGTAACCTAAACCAAACTGGAACTCTCTTGTTACCGCATGCTACGGCTGGGGACAGGGAAGAATTCAGCACTCACAGTCTCATGCAGCTAGTCAGGGCTCTCCAAGAAGCAGAACACAGAGGGATAGGTCTTCCTCAGGACACTGCAGCCTTCAACAGAATAAACTAGCTCCACCGACATCACAGCACAGGGTCTACTCTGCTGGAGTGGGTTGACATACATATTTTAAGCTAGCCAAAAAAAAAAAAAAAGTGCCTTCATTGCAAAGTCTCGGCAAGTATTTAACCAAAGTCTGAGTGTTGTGGCCTCAGCAAGTGGAAACATGAAAGGTAATGGTGCATTTGGCCCTCCTGCGAGGTGAGACTGGGGTTCATTTGTTATGCTATCTCCAGACACATGTTGTCACTCTAGCTTTCACAAAGGCCAGGGACTGGTGCTGTCCCTGTGACTTTCCTGGTGGTGCAGAGCAGCCTGTTGCCTCACCTCGGCAGGGCTGTGCAGCACAGGGGCACAGGCTTCCAACTGTGTGATACACTTCCCTGGGTCTCCATTTTCCCGTTTCTGTGGTGTGCACAGGTGTCAAGGGTTTGTGGGGCGTTCAGGAAGCAGGATAAGGCACATCCAAAGTAAGCATTAGTTCTTGTCACTTGAAAGAACAATGCCACATATGTCCTGTTTGTCTGTCTTGCTTCGGGCTGTTCGCTTTTTAAATCTGCGGACTTACAAAGAGTTACAGCAGCCCCTCTTCTTCCTGCCTTCTCCCTGGAGGCAGTAGTCCCAGGTCCCCAGGGCTCTCAGTGTCACAGGTTGTTTACCACAGCAAAGGCCAGGAGAGGGAAGTGCTGGCCCTGCCTTTGCTCACCAGCCTGCAGTGCTGACAAAAAGAATGGCTTTCTGTTAGCAGTGAGCGAGGTGAAGCTTCCAACCTTGCAAATGGAACCCCTGTTTTAATGAACTGTCAATAAATTCTTCTGCAGTAAGAACATGGTAAGGGTGTTTCAAGAAAAGAATATTTACACACAGGAGAGCAGGCTTTGCACCCTATCTGGGGACAGATGCCCCCCCCCACACACACATACACACACACTTTGGTACCAGTGGCAGACAGAGAACTGGCTAGCCCTACTCCTCAGCAGCTGCAGCACACAGGAGAGTGGGCTCTGCACCCCACCTTGATAGCACACTAGAGCTGACCCTGTTGTGGGGGGACACAGGTGAGCCTGCCCTGAGGGTGTGAGAGCAGGAGAGCTGACCCCTCCCCCCATATGTCCCTTTCAGCAATCCAGAGAGAGGGCCCTGTACCATGCCTGGGCAAAACATTAGAAATGGCCCTGTTGGAATGAGTGAGGGGATCTGTGTCTGAGGGCCCAAAAACAGGAGAACTGGCCCTGCCCCTTGCTACAGGCTGTCTCATGTGAGCTAGTCAAGGCAATGCTGGAGAGCTCACCTCAGTGGTGACAATGGGAGAAAGCTGGTAGGCTGACCAATCCAGCTACTACCACCTAGACACAGAACCAGAGCTGTGGGTTGGCCCACCCCCAACATCCACTGAATCTACAAACTGTTGGAGTGTGGGAAGGGGATGAGCCTACAGATCCAAAACAGCAGGATCTCCATGACACAGGACAACATCAGGACATCCAAGACGAGCCCCAGTGAGAGCCCATTATCCATAGTGCAGCAGAAGCCGGAGGCCTCTGCCGAGACCAGTGACTCACGGCAATGAACAATTACAAGTGAAGATGAACGGACTAAAGGGCAAACTGTGACTCAACCGGCCACACTGCACTCTCTCTCTCTCTCTCTCTCTCTCTCTCTCTCTCTCTCTCTCTCTCTCTCTCTCTCTCTCTCTCTCTCTCTCTCTCTCTCTCTCTCTCCCTCCCTCTCTCTCTCTCTCTCTCTCTCTCTCTCTCTCTCACACACACACACAAATTTGGTTTTTGTTTTATCTTTTAAATTTTGTTGTGTTTTATACGGGAACGTGCATGGTAGAGAGCAGGGACCAGGAGATAAAGTGGGCTCTGGATACGTGATGTGACATCTACAGAACCTCAATAAAAATTGAGGAAGAAAAAGAAAAGAAAGGCATATTTTGCCATTTACTATCATAAAGACAACAAGCTGCTTTTATTTTCTTTCTGTAAAACAACTTTGTTTGAAGGAGCATCTCAGTTTCCTTTAAACTGCAAACTTGTTTGTAACCTCTGAGATGAAATAAGATTACCAAAGACCAGGCTGATGCCTTCTCCCAAGAAGGGGCATTTATAGTGATAGCCTCTAATGTGTATCAAGAAACATGCTTGGCAGTTTTTGTAAGCTATGGGAACAGTAAGAGCACCTGCCTCACTTCCTAGAAGCAAATGCTCCTAGAAGTGCTGTGATATGGCCAAGGACATAGGGACTGTAGTTAAATCAGAGCTCAAGCCTGCATCTGCTTCCCCAGCCCATGGCAACTTCAGAGAAGGGTAACATTTCAGTCAAGAGGGCCTTTGCTCTCCTTTGAATCACATGCAGGGAGCCGCCCTCTTTCCCTGTGCTTGATTATATCTGAATCATTAATGCAGGCTTCATTTTCTGATACTCAGAAACCTGGGGGGAGCAGAGAGTCAGTGGGCAGCCCCCATCTTTTTACTGTGAACCGCCCCCATATCTGTCCACCCTTCTAAGGATGAGTGCCACGGCTCCATCCTGCCCTTCCAACCTTCCATCTTAGTGATGACACTGCCCTAAAGAAAGCACTGGCTACTTGGTCCTTCCTTAGCTGCAGAGGGGCGGAGCCCATACTCAACCAGGAGCAAAGACCAGAGCCCAGATCAGAGCCTTGGATTTCCATTATGTGCCCCAGCCCTCTAATCAAGCCCTTATTTTTCTCTCTCTTTCAGATTCCCTCTCTCCTGCCTCTGATTCTTCACTCTGTGCCATATGTCTTCACTCACAAAGGAAAGAATGTCAGATGTGAAGAGAAAAATGGGTGGTAATCATTACAGATGAGTCATTAGAACACAAGTGCCCGCTTGTTTATTTGCTGATACAAAGGGATCCCTTCTGCCATGCTCTGCTGCAGAGAGGCGTGCATTCAGACATAATTCCCCATGATTACCCTTTGATTGGAGATTCTTTACCCAGCTTCTCTTGGGTACTTGGAGCATACAAACAAACTGCCTACAGGTAGATCCCATCCATCAAACAAACTCTCCTTCCTCTTGCTTCTACTTTGCAGGCAAACATTGTCTCCCTGGTTAAAATGTGAAGAAAAGAAACTTCACAGTTGGGACAAATCTGGACAAAAGTCTTTGTCCATGAAATTTGTTCGGAGTCAAATGTACAGATGGAGAAAAACTCATCTAATGCAAGTAAAATGAAATGGTTAAATGGGGAGCAGAGGCATTGCGCTAGTAACAGCCCCGTTCTCTTTAGTATTACTTAAAGAGTGCTCCAAGTGATACTAAAGAGATACTGAGCCAGGCTGAATGGACTGACAGGGAGCTGACTTTTATCATGACCTAAGGGTCCTCACTCTGAAACCCTGAACGGGGTGTAGGGGTCTGTGAACTCTTGGTCAAATCTGGAGGTGTTTGTAACCATGTGGGATCTCTTTCCCAGCCCATGATCCACTGGTTGTGAAGGAGTCTAAGAATTCCCACCCCAAGAAGATCCTCTCAGGGAGATGGACAAGTTGGGTAGAACTATAGCAGTGGGATCCTTGTGTTTATGTGATCAAAGATGTGCATTTGAAGCGTTTTTCTTCGAAAGAGAGACAAGGCAGGCCTGTGTGGAGAGTTAACAGCCAGGTTAGAGAGGAAAATTGAAGAATAGCTAAGAATTGGATTTAGACAATTCTCCGGGACAAAGAATAAAGCATCTCAACAGCTCGATAAAACAAAGCTACTTCACATAAAGGCCAGTGTGAGCATTCCTAATCAGTGGGCAGCCTCCTCAGAGGCCATGCGGAGACTCAGGCTCCTCTTATCCTATGGCTTCAATTTCTGATGCCTTACAGTCCTCTGCTAGGATTCCCGTATTTATAAAAATGCTGCCAATAACCTCTTTCATTTTCTTTCCCAAAAGTTTAAAAATATATATATATATACTTATTTAGTGTGTGTGTGTGTGTGTGTGTGTGTGTGTGTGTGTCTGTCTGTCTGTCTGTATATGTGTACATAGGTTAGAGGGCAACTTTTGGGAGTTGGTTCCACCATATGGGTCCCAGGGATGAAACTCATCGGTCAGACTTGGTGGCGAATTACTTTGCCCACGGAGCCATCTCACCAGCCCCCTTTTCGAACACAGGCAGTTCTAAAGCAAAGTACTCGGATGTCTACAAATTGTGTCTCCAAGAGGAGGATAAGGTCCTTACCGTCCCTGCTGGAAATGTCCTCCGTGATGAAGACATGTGCTCTGAGTTTCCTCTGTGGCTGGTAGAAAACACACATTTGCTCCCTGCTTCCCGGCCAGGGAGAGTTGGTGTGCCCACTGCAATGCTCCCTCTGCCCTGCACTACCCACATTACCACTCCAGAGCCGTCAGCTCCAGGAAATGCAAAACCGTTTAGTTCATGTCTAGGATCTGCGCCCCATGGGAACATTATTTTCTTCCTTTGAGTAACGGCTGCAGGGACCCGCCCCCAGGAAAGCCAATACATCACTCTGTCAAGATGCCAGTATTCTGCATATATTTTATTCACATTTGGATTTACGGATGGCAAGAGTTTTTTGTTCCCATGCTACAAAGTGTTGTTTAAAAAACAAGTACTACCCATTAATAACTACTAGCTACAACCTGTAAGCAGAAGTATGAAGTAAAAAAATCACAGGTGCAATTCTTTTGGTATGCCCAAGACGCTGACATTTTTTAATTCTGCATTGAAACTGGGAGGGCCGCCGTTTTCTTCTCTTTGTGGCATCTGCCAATATCTCCATTTTCCTCGCTGCTTTGCTCTCGCTTCACCTGTCCACGTATGCAGCGTACCGGAACCATGAAGCATTCCAGCTCCAACCTGTTGTCTGCCTTCTGTTCACTGACACATTACAACAAAAGGAAGCAACATTGAGGCTCATGTATGCGTGTGTTCACGGCCTGGGGTAGTGACTGTCAGGGAAAGCTCTGCACTTGCTGCCCATCAGGATCATATACGATAACCGTCAAGAGTTCGCTCAGCTAGCAGAATGTCAGTACCTGCGCCGGCCATTCAAAGACTAGACAAACAGAATTCCGGGATGCTATTCCCATTAGAGGCTTCTAGCTCGAACGGTTCTAGCTGACGGTACTCAAATGTCACGCGGTTAATGTGTTTCCCGCTGGAGACCATGCGCACCACAGCGTTGTCACAGCTGATTTTCATCTGGGCTGTAATTGATGGGGAAAAAAGCAATAAATGTCTTCCGACAGGTTATAGAGCAGAGGGTAAAGACAGTGCTCTCCTCTAAATAGGTAAAACAGTGAAGGTGGGATAGGGACATGAATGGCGGCTTGCTCTCACGTCGTCAAATCCCTTTCAGCCAAAACACCTTTTTTTTTAACTATATAATTAGATGTAGAATCAGGGAACTGGATCCAACCTTTTTCTGCACACACAGTACACCATAATGCAAGGAAAGCTGGCTAGAGAGAGGCAAGATTTCTCTTTGACCTTTGTCTTTTCTTCCTGCCTGCAATGCTTAGGTAGAAAAGGGAACAATGGTGACCAATGAACTCTGCTCCATTGCTGACCTTTCTAGGCAGGGACAGTTTAGGGTGGGAACAGAATCTGGGTTTTAAGTGGCAGTTAGTGCAGAGAGGCAGGACTGTACTGTTTGGTGTTTGTGTGGACCAGAAAAAAATCCCATTATATGCCAGGACACTTTAATACAGTTCCTCATGTTGTGGTAACCCTGGATCATAAAGTCATTTTCATTGACAACTGTAATTTTGCTACTTTTATGAATCATAATATAAATATCTAATATGCAGGATATCTAATATGCATTTGACCCCAAGGGGGTCAAGACCCTCAGGTTGAAAACCAATTTTCTATTGTTTACCAACTTTCAAACTGTCCTGGTACGGAATAGCTTCGAACATTCTCACTTGACTCACAGCCTATAGTTTCATTGTCTGAACGGGCACCTGACAACTGTTTGTCACTTCTGACAGGTGTGCCCAGGCAACTCAGACTGAAAGTCAGGTTATTTTCATTAAAAATAGATCTCCATTCATTTTTGTGGGCACAGTTTGATTCCTGACACGTTTTATCTGCACTATAATAATTCTTCCTGCTATTTTAATTTTCTCAGTCTCTCCCCTCATACTTTGTATCTGCAGGTTATTTCTCAATTCTGAGACATGCTACCGCTATCACTGTGCCACAGGGGCCTCCCAGACGCATCCCTAGGTGCAAAGGAAGCAACACAGCGTGATCGTGTCAGTAGGGTGAAAGTCTATTTGAAAGCATGATAAGTTTCAACCTTGAGTTTTTAAAAATACCACTATGAGAGAACCTAGATTAACTGCTGCCTGGAGGCCGTGTTTATCTCTCTTTAGATTATCTGGAAGGTTGTTTTTCTTTCTGGTGTCACTCTGAGCTTGAATCTGCACAATATATCCTGCTTCCTTTAGTCAATGTGCATACTATTTGTTTTGACATAATTTCCTACAAAATTCAATTTAAAGGACAGAGTCTCTAACGGTTCTAAAGTTTTGGACTAAATTTATAGTACATGGAAATAGGGAGGATGCAAGAGGGAAAAAAGCTACATATGCCAACTATGTAGCTCAGTGGCAAAGCATTTGGCATATGTGTGAGGCCCTGGATATGGTCCCTAGCAAGAAAGAAACCTAAACTATCTAAAATGAACCAGTGAGTTGCATAATTCCAGCTTTAAATCACTGACCACTGGTTTAATTACATCCGTAACTTAGACAAAGCAGTGTTCCTGGCCCCCCTAGCACCTGTTCACCCAGCCTAAGTCCTATAATTCAAGCAGGAAAACATGGCTTTAATTATCTAATTTTTAAGGCACAAGCATTCTTCAATCCAATCGTATCTTTTTATTCCATTCAAATACATGTCCCTAAAGGGGGTTTTCCACAGCAGTGCTGGGAGGTGACAGCAGAAGGCCACCAGCACATCCACATGCAACGACAGCTTACATCAGAGCGAAGTCCTCTGTATGAAAACAGTCCTCTGGGCATGGGTGTGTGCACCTGTGACCCCAGCATTCCAGAGGCTGAGACGGGAAGATCAAGAGTTCAAGGCCAGCCTGGGCTACTTACTGAGACTACTGAGACCCTGCACCCCCAGAAAGAAAGAGAGAGAGAGAGAGAGAGAGAGAGAGAGAGAGAGAGAGAGAGAGAGAGAGAGAGAGAGAGAGAGAGAGAGAGAACTATGTTCTCAGCTTCATCAAAGCACGTTTGGACACCCTTAGGAAGCACTCTTTGCCTCAGTGACACAGCTTGCCTAGTCCAGTCCTAACTGCCTCATGGAGCCATTTCCTGCCTCCCTGTGTGCATGGCTTCTCTTTCAGAGCTGTTTTGTTTACTGGAGGTTTGGAGAGAGAAGACACTGGCGATGTGACCTTATTTTAACACCAGGACACAACTGACCCAAAGAGCAGTCTGCTTTGCAGTTTCATCACCCAGTTGGAGGAAGGTCTGTGGGGGTGCGAGAGAAGGGGGCTCTGAGGGGAATGGTCTGTGCCATTTGGCGCTGGTGTTCTTTATCTCCAGTTTTAATTTGTCTCTTTCCAGACTACCAACGATTCCTGTAATCCAAAGTACAGGGACAAAGGCGGCCTTTATAGAATTGTTCTATGGAACCTGCCCCCACCCCATACAACTATTAGTTTGGTCATGAGGTCAGTAGTTCAGACCCCATCCTCACGCACATTAGCTTGGGCAACTGCATCCCCAAGTAGCTTTATATTAATGATGAGCACTCAGAGATTTCAGAATTTGCCTCTGGGTAGCAATGGTCTCTGAGAGGCTAGTATAGCTACAGAAGGTGGGGGAGCTCAGGGGCTTAGAGGTGCTCTAGAAATCTTGCTGCCTTAATGGATGGCACTGGAAGAAACCATCCTGAGTGAGGTAACCAAGTCACAAAAAGACAAACATGGTATGTACTCACTCATATATGGATTTTAGACATGGATCAGGATAGTGCCAGTCTGCACTTCCACTGACAGAGAGTCTGGGAAACAGGAAAGAACCTAAGAGAGATGTGTATGGTACCCCAGAGAAGAGGAATGAGGCAAGATTGGGAACACGGCGGGGGGTGGAGGGGAGTGGGAGCTGGGAAGAAGAGAGGAGGGGAAGAGGAGGAGAGAGTAGGTCATGGGGGAACAGGAAGGTTGAGTAGAGGGTAGAATAGGGGGAGAAAAGGATGACAAATACCATAAAAGAGGGAGTCATAGGTTTGAAGACCGATCAGGCACCAGTGAGACCTCTAGCGATCTACAAGGATGACACCAACAGGCAGGCTAAGCAATAGTGGAGAGACTACCTTAAGTGCCCATTCCTGATAATGAACTTGACAACTACCTTATATGCCATCCTAGAACCTTCATCCAGTGACTGATGGAAGCAGAGGCAGACACCCACAATTAGACACTGAACTGAACCCATGGAACCCAGTGACAGAGAGAGGAGCGGTGAGCAAGTGGGCAAAGAATGGGCTGGTGAAACCAGTAGAGACAGCTGATCTGAACAGGGGAGAGCTCTTGGACCCCAGACCGACAGCTGGGAGGTCAGCATGGTGCTGATCCAGACCCCCTGAGTGTGAGAGTCAGTGAGGAGGCCTGGGCAACCTATGGGGCCCTGGGCAGTAGATCAGTGTTTATCCCTGGCATACAAACAGTCATCGTGTGCCCATAACACAAAGAGGGATGCTCTCTCAGCCTGGACTCTTAGGGGATGGTCTGGACCCTGCCCTGAGCGAAATGACAGACTCTGGATATCCCCTATGTGGAAGGAATTGGGGATAGGGTGGGAGTATGGGGGAGGTGGTGGGGGGTGCGGGAGGAGGGGAGGGAGCTGGGATTGACATGTGAAGCAAGCTATTTAAAATTAAAGTAATAAAAATGATTTAAAGAAAAAAGAAAGAAATATTTCTGCCTTAACATATGTATACTATAATAATCCAGTCCTGTACATATGTGTATACACACATCAATATATGTATATACATTGACACATACATGAGAATGTATCCTACACAGATGGCAAAGTTACTTAGCTATTATTTCATTATTATATTGTTATCAATCACAGATACTTTGACCATTTGAACTGTTAGTCTCTGGAGGATAAAAGCAGAGATCTTTCCTAAAGTGTAGAAACATTGTCTTATTCATAGTTTTCCCTAAATACACATCCTGGCTGCTCTATAGGCTTCTCTTTTGATGCTGGTACTTAGGTAATAAGTTCTGATGCTATACATAGACTCTAAAGTAAAGTTCTGACATGTAAAACAAAATATTCGGGTAGAATTTGTCTTCTTATACATGAAATGTTGGGGTGTTTTATTTAAGGGAATCACAACTGAAAAGCAGTCTCACCAGGGCCGAGAAAGGGGAAGCACAGGTCCGCTAAAGGCATCATCTTGGAGGGGTCCAATCCAGTTCCTCCCAGCAGCTCCACGAAGTCACCAGTCCCACCACACCCGGCCGTGGGTTTCTAAGAGAACATAGCAGCGGATAAAGCAAGATCCCTGTAAACCTATTACAGAGCCAAACTGAGGCAAGAGGGGCCAGTGAGTATGCTCTGTCAGCCTTCAGCCTGTGCCTTTGATTCAGGCATGAGAGACTTCCAGAAATGGTTAACGGTTAAGCCAAACTGCCAAGAATCAGTTTTCTAAATCAGTTGATTAGTCATTTTTTAAATGTACGCGCACTTTTTAATGACTAAGTTCAATGGCTAGAAAACTGAAACTGGAATTTGTAAGCTCAGAATAAGGAACACAACCTGAGCATACCTGGACACACCCCGGTTACTGGGAAATCTCAACGTACGCAGTCAGATTAAAGGAAGTCCAGCCACCTGCAGTTTATAATTACAATTTGTATATTTAAATTCTGTGTTCTCTCTCAGCTTGCTTCCTTGCCTCTTGTTAATAAAGGAAAATTTCTGTTCTTGGAACATGTCTCTTCTACAAGTAAGGATTTAGATTACTCACGGTATATTTAAAAAAAAAAAAGAATAGAACTGTGATTTGGGTCTCAAGTTGGCCAAACTTACCACTTACTCTTTCCTTTCAAGGAAAACAAATCCTTTTTGTGGTACTCAGAGGAAGAAGAATTCATTCTAAGCCTCTGAAACCATCATTTCCGACTTCCCCGAATCCTCCCACTGTTCTCACTCAACACACGGGAGCTGTTCATTCTCAGTCCCAAATGTCGCGCTTGGCCCCTGCTTTACATGCCTGGGTTAGGCACGGCTTCATGTCAATCCTCCCAAATGCTGGGGTTATAGGGGAGCTCCCATACCTGCAAATGGTCTTAAATTGTTAGTGAAGTTTTCATCACGGCTCCACGTTTTCACTCTGGACTGTCTCCCACCATTCCTATGGCCTGCCACCCTGTTATTCATCCATGTGCACTTATTAAGAGACCTAGCGGTCTGTGGAAGGTGACCAGAAGTTAACCAGATAAACCCTGACACATGAGAACCAAAATCTAAAATAGAACTTTAAGCACCATCTATGCAGGTAGGTGCACACATATCGGACATTTAGAAGGACATTGAAATGTGATGGGAACTGAAATTAAAACATTATATAATGGTGACTATTTGACTAAGGAAAGGAGACAACAGGAGCTGCTTATGTTTAAGGGACCTACTATGTGCACGGCTGTATGCTTAGGTACTTCAAACATAATTTCATTGCATGATGAAATAAAGATTTAATTAGGCCCACTGTGCACTAGCTTGCGAACTGAGAGTCAAATAAGCTATTTAGGAATGAAAGGACATAATTGCCTTTCCCATGAGTAGACTGGCGGAAGTTTCCACTTGGTGAGCAATGACATCTCTCTCCTCTAGGCAATCCTCTCAGGTTTTCTCATAAACAGTAGCAGAAAGTGAGCAGCACGGGGACCTGTCTGGGGTTCTGGGCCTCTCGGTAGCTCCTACATGTCTTTGTTGAGGTTTGAAGCTCCTATCATCTCTTGCTAGACTTAGACCCTGTGCCAAAGGTGTACCCCAGCTTGTTGAACTGCAAGTTAAGTCCCCACTGCTCATTAGGAACACTCAAAGTCCCTCCTCCCAGTATACAAGAGTCATCCCACAGGGGCCATGGAAAAGGCAGCATATCTCCCAGCCCATTCGCCAGGCAGGAGCCAGAGTGACTGTCAGACAGCGCACACCAGGTCGTTCCCACCAGAACCCACAGGTTCCCACTGCACCTGCAGCTCGCACCTTCTACAGATGGACACACTCACTGCATTGCCCATCTCCATCTCTGTTTTGCTCCTTCTTGTTCCTAGAATCCAGCAAGCCTGTTTCTGCCTGGCAGCACTGCTCCCTCTGTTCCTCCTCCTGCCGTGGCTGCTGCTCATTCTGGCCTACTGCTCCAGTCAACTCTTCAGCATCTCCTTCTCAGAAGTTTCCTTCCCTGACCACATTGTCTCAGGCAGCTCTCTCCGTTTCCCCCACATTCCTGTCCATCAAACCACTCGGCTGTATTTTCTGTACAGACTTAGAGTGATTTGAAATCTGTGATAATTTTGCCTGTCATCCCACTAGAAAACAGGCTCCTTGTGTGCAGGACCAGCCTTGTCCATTGCTTATTTCTAGAATCTAGAATATTCCCCTGCACAAAGGAATTTTATATTATTACTATTAGTATTTATTATTATTGGTATTGTGGTATTGGTGGTAGTAGTAAAGGGAGGATCATGCTATGTAGTCCAGGTTAGCCTGACACAAGAGGTTCTTCTATCTCAGTCCCCCAGTGCTGGGATTACAGGTGTAAGCCACCATACATAGCTCTCAATACCCAGGCCACAAAAAAATAGATTTTAAAGGAACTGATGCCTGGAACACAGACCTCCTGATCTGTTACCACACCTTCTCCCTTCTAGAATGTACATGAAGAATGGCATGCTATATGAACACTATCAGGTTGAGCCCCAAACACTCAGACATCCTTATCAAAGGACCATTTCTCCATCAAGGTCCAACAACAACAACGAGGAGGCAAAGCCACATGAATCTGGGGGCTGGAGGAAGTTGGATAGAAATCGTTTTTCTCAGCCCTGTTCCTTATTTAGTTTTCACAAAGATCTGTACGTTTGAGAATTCTGGCTGCCTCTACTACCACCAAATGCATGTGTTATTTTAACTTAGGACTCTGAACAAGGAAAAGGAAATGAGTGTGACTCACAGAGAAGTCACTATCTGTGCAAATAGATACAATTAAGCTAGCCTTCATTTTAGGGCACATACGGAAACTGACATGAAAGCAAGCTGATAGGAATCTCACAGCTAATTTTTCCTTTTAGGCAAAAATGTCATATAACATGCTCTTCAAAACTTTACTGCTTATATCAAGATCCAATTTCATATTTGATGCCCCTGTTAGCATTCTTTCATAGAGCAGTGCTGTCAATGAAAGAGACTTCCTTCGTATCCAAAGAAAATTCCAATAATCAGAAAAGCAGCTGCGCCGATGACTCACAGGCGGCTCGGCTAGGAGAGGATTTTTGAGAAAGAGGAAAGTACAAGAGCGTCCAATTGTAATTACATACTGTAGCTTTACCAGTGAAAGCATTTCCTATGTTGCAAGAGGAGTACTGGAGTAGTCAGGACAGGCACCTGAGTGTTTGCCTCCAGTGTAACTGAAATAGACTTTGACGAAGCCAGCGCAGCATATGGGAAATTTAAAGCCAGCAACCACACGGTTCTAGCTCCCAGACACAAGGTGTGTTTTGGCTCTGATGAACTCAGTGGCCTTACCAAATGGCCAAGGAGCAAGCAAAACCACTGACCTTTAACTGGAGGTCATGCCAGTGTCCCAGGGTGAGATCAGAGATTCTGATTGCCACAGGGTAAATGATGGAGAAGCTGCAGTTTTGGTGCTGGTGTGGGACCACTAGAGTAAATCTTCCACTCGGGGTCTGGGAGATGACATTGCAAGCTTTAGGGAGAAAAGGTTACAATTATATTATTTGGAGTGCTGGGTTTTTCTTAGATAGAAAGTCATGATATCTTCATTGTAGATTTCAGTTCATGGTCTAGTAGATATGTCCAACCATAGTGCCCAGGACAGTTGTGAATGGGGACCAACCTTATTTATAGACTACACTCTTACAATCCCAACAACCAGAGGGTGGGCCTCAAGGCTCAAAGATAAAGCCACAACCTAATGCTGTGGGAAATCCTCACCCCTAGAATTTGGAGCCATGGTGTTATTTTTAAAAAAATAAAGTCATAAGTAACTTTATTCTAAAGATTTCATGATAAAGACAAAAGAAGGCAAGACTAAAATAAACAACGGTTTTATACCTAATAGTTATTTGCTGGGTATTGAGCAATGTACTGTTGACTAAATGGTCAACTTTTAAATCTTGGTAGTCTTAAGGTTTTCTTTCTTTTTTATTTTGAACTTACAACCAAGTTATTCTTCTATTTGTGAAACAGAGACGTGGGGTTTGCCTTTGGAATAACCTACCTCATTATATTTTTTTATTACACTTAATTTAAGAAAGGAGTGAAATTCCTTGACAGTTCTAAAAGGCATCTTCTGATTTCTTACCAGGAATCTTCCAGGAGAAATGTGTCCTCTCCAATCATTCCACTTCTCAGATAGCCTCAGATTTTCAGCTCTAATCTATCATCTTATCTATCTATCTATCTATCTATCTATCTATCTATCTATCTATCTCTATCTCTGTGTGTCTCTGTCTTTCTATCTCTCTGTGTCTCTCTCTGACTCCCTCTCTCCCTCCCTCCCTCTCTGATGCCAGAATTTAAATCCAAGCTTTGTGCACCCTCAGACAAGTGGTGTACTTCTTAACTATATCCCAGCTTCCAGGATTTTGTCTTAATGACAAAATAGGCTGACGTGTGGACTCATTTTGCTCTAAATCGCACTCTTTCAGCTTTGGCTCTGTAGTTTTACAGAATAATCTGTGTATTTCTCTATCAGAAATGAATGAGCTGGGGTGGTGGCTTTGTGGTAGAAGATAACACAGAAGAAAGTGACACAGAGGCACTCTGGTCGACTCCTCCTCGGGGTCAGACATCAATTATCCAGCCTTTGTTGACAAAGCTCTGGCAACTAATGATCCTTCAAGTTTATCCTGCATCTGGGGGATGGTTTGAGAGATTAAAGTTACTTACAGAACCCATTGGAATGCCTTGGGAGGGCAGAACAAGACTTTGAAGGAAAAATAAAAGTGTATGTAACATATATTAGAGAATTGCCTAGCCTGGGAAATAAAATCAAAACCTGTGGTTTGATTTTCATAGCAAGGAGTAAAGACCTCACACTCCTTACTTTAGGTATGTGAAGCAATATGACCTGACCTTCACAGAGCAGGGTGGCCACCTCCCACCATGGGGGAGTCCTGTATTTTCCTTGAGCTTACTTACGGAAGAGGTTGGGGTCTGTCTTGATGGTTAATGTGAATCCATTTCCTGGTTCATGGACCCGGAAGAAGACCATGGCCACATTCTGGGAAGATCTGATGCTCCTTCTGGTAAGACCACTCTCACAGAAATCTGTGTACCGCTTCATGGTGGGTAGAGGGTGATCCTGAGAACTTGGGAATTTCTCCCCCTTGAGGATCCAGCCATCAAATACCTTCAGATGATGATGATGGTGATAATCAATAATAATAATGGTAATAATAGTACTAGTACATACATAAACAGTCACTTTCGCCAGTCTGAAGTAAGAATTTGTTGAAAAGAGGGAGAAAGTTACACAGCAATGAGCTTTCAGTTATAAGGGAGGAACCTGCAGCCCCTCCTCACACCCTACTTTTCATCTATATGCATTTGGAATGTGCAGGTTGTTTGCAAACAATATTATCAATTAATCATTTTTTTCTATATAAGCCTTCAAGCTGCTAAGTTAGCATACCTTCTTATACTTTATCAACTAGTTTGGTAAAAGGAAATTATAGACAACACTGATTGTTTTGTCTTTTCCATATTCAAATGAACTCTACAGGATCGCCATTAGGAATTATTTCACCGGACCGCAGCTTCTATATTGCCTCTAGTCAGCGAAATGTGAACAACAACAACAACAAATCTCAAAGAATAAGTAACAACAGCAACAAAATTTTTCTGGATATGATGGAGAATGTGTGTAATCCCAGTACTGTAGAGGTGGAGGGAGGAAACGTCATGAGTTTGTGTTCAACCTGGGGTACACAGGGTGATTGTGTCAAAGTGATGCACCAGGAGCCGGGCGGGGGAGAGGGGGAGCAGCGGCCTCTTTACCACTCTTCACATTAAAAGAAAATTACCACCTCAAGTTAGTGTGTGTGTGTGTGTGTGTGTGTGTGTGTGTGTGTGCGTGTGTGTTTAATGCTGCAGTCAGGTAGCACTAGCTAGTAAACCATGTAAGACTTCCTCATGGCTTCCTAAGTTAGCTTTGGGACAAAGGGTTAAAGTCAATTGATTCTGCTCTCAAAAGCACGGCGGGACTCCATTTTAATGAGTCCATCATAGCAACATCATCAACAACCTGGGTACAAATTATTTCTAGCAAGCTTGACAGCCTCCCAAATGGTTCTGCTTTGGAAGTCCCAAGCGTGCTTGTTTTGTTTGGGCAGAAGAACTCCTTCCAGCCCGCTTCAGCTGCCCTGGGTACAGTGAGGATGCTGTCGGGCTCCTCCCTTCTCACTTGTCTTAAACCAGAATGCCTCTCAGCGTCCCTCCCACAACCAGTACCCTGCTACCCCCAAGCCCCATCAGCCAGGCTCCCAAGAGCCTCCTGGAAGAGCTAGGTGGGTTCAGATCTCAAATAGCAAAAGGAGAATTCGCTAAGAGGTTCTCACGGTAGACTACAAAAGAGCTCCTAATTATTTTCTCCATGTTTCGTCTGCCCCAGACTGCACCACAGCATCTCACGCTGCATGCTCAAGTGCTAGGAAGTTCCTAGGAGTTGGGGAGCGCACAGAAGGGAAACTAAAGTACCAGCATCCAGGGACGCAGGACCTGCAGTGTATGGGGCTAGACCCTCCCTAGGAATCCAGCCTCCTGGGGCTCCCCCAGTGAGCTTCTGAGCTCGGGAACAAATTGGTTCAGAGTTGCCCCAGGTGGCTGCACTAGGGGCATGCGGGCTGAGGCTGCATGGAGCGGGAACCCCCCTCACCTTCAGGAAGTCCCCACCCTGGCAATCGATAGAGACCAGGTCGTAGTGGATTGTGATGAACTCCTCGGGTTCCCCGATAAAGAAGACAGCGCAGTTCAGCTGCGGCTGGTCAGCGGTGAAGGTGAACTGACCAGGGAGAGTCAGCATGTCCAGGCATCCTGGAAGACAGCATGGAGCCACGGGTCCCCAGCTGTTAGGAAGCCGCTCTTAGGCAAGCCCCATTCCCGGGCTCCGCAGCTCGCGGTGCCCCCATGCTGGAGCTCCCAGCTTAGGCTGCGCTGGGTTCCCTCGCTCTGGCTTGGAAGGAACCTCATGGATGCCACAACCAGAAGGTCCCAGCCAGTCCCTGGCTGGAGATCCTGCAAGGCTGTGTCCCCGGCGCAGAGCCCCAGCATCCCGCCTCCCGGCACCCGCACAGTAGAGCAGAACAGCCCGACTCACGCAGAGCCCGACGATATGGTTGCTCCCCGGCTAGGTCCCGCTTCAGATTAGCGCTGAAGAGCAGGAAAGGGGCATAGTCCGTGGCTTCTTGCACCTGGCAAGAAAAGTAGATCGGTCCGGAAAAGTTCCGGGGGAGGGAAAGAGAGTGGACCAGGAGCAGGACACCCTTCTTGCAGCCCAGAGAAGCGAACTGAGAGGGAGTCCGTGTCTCCCCGAGTCTAGAGACTAGTGAATCTTAGATTCTTTCCATCAGATCAGGGTACCCAGGCATCCTCAGCGGCCAGAGAAAGGCAGGCAGTTAGGATGTTCAGAGGCAAGGAGAAAGAAAGCAAGTCTAGAAGAACCAGAGGAAAGAGGATGGTTGCAACAGAGAGGAGAATATCAAACTCGTGTCTGCTGTCCCTGCCTGGCTGAATACCCACGGGAAAGGTGTTAAGCATCAGGGAAGAATGGCTCACCTCTAGGTAGCGGCTCTCTCCCCTCAGAGCTGTCAGGAGGATCAAGAAGAAGTGGCACTGGAGTTTGAAGTTCGGTGACATGCTGGCCTTGTCTCTGCAGCTGGTGCGCTCTGCCGCAGAGACCTTAGGCGTTTCTTCCCACACCTTCACCCACGCCGAGAGCTCGAGGCTGCTAGGGTCCCTTTCCTGGGTCTCTTTTATAGAGCAGTAGAGAGGGGAGGCTCTCTGCCCCTTCACCGATCCGAGCTTAGTTACCATGGGTTACCCTGCCTCGGTGACAAAATACGTGGCAATGACGAGGGTCCAGCTCTCAGCCACAAATATTGCAGCATGGCCCAGCATTATTCACCGAGAATGACGCCAATCATTAGAACCTAGTGACCTGGACGTATAAGAGAAACAATGAGGCAGGGATGGACACTAAAGGAAGCATTTTACTTGGCCTGCCAAGCATTACATTATACTTACGTTATATATATATATATATATATATGTACGTATGTATGTATGTATGTATATATATATACATATATTCGGTGAATTTTCAAATTTTTAAAAGAAAGTGACAAAATTGCACGTGTGCACAAATTACCCAGACACATATGGCCTCATCACGGGGCCTAGTCACACAACTATGGATGGGGTTCTGCTAGGAATCCAGAGAGTAGTATCAGTGCAACCACCATGCCTCTCCATAAGACACATGAAGTATCTTCAACTTCAGATCTTTGACAGAACCTGATTTTAAAGAGTATTGCAGAGATGAAATTCCAGGTCTCCTAAACTTTGCTTTCTTTTGGCCCAGTTTCTCACCAGCATTCCCTCCTGAAAAGCAGGGGTCTCTAGACCTCTGGATGCTGGCTGGGCTGTCCCTGACTTGGATTCTTCACTGTGCACACTCCTGGACCTCGCTGGAATCACTGAGATCAGATCACTGTGCTTGCAAACACCTGGGTCACTTTGATTCACTGGGAAAAGTGCTGAAGCTCCCCCAAATGACAAACGGGCCCAGTCAAATGGGCAGGAACCCAGACAGGAGTTATGTATAGTCTCACTTTGGGAGAAGAGCATGGCTTCTGCTTTCTGTGCTAAGCAGTGGACAATGTGGAGATATTCCCCCTGGGGCTTCCCTACCCCCTGACAATAGCTGATAAGTACTGCAAGAAAAATCGATCTAAGGTTTCAATGGAAAAAAGTAGTTATATTTGTGGCTTAAAAGTACTGCAAAGTCCAGCACTTGGGAGGCAGAGGCAGGCAGATCTCTGTGAGTCCGAGGCTAGCCTGGTCTACAGAGAGAGTTCCAGGACAGCCTCCAAAACAATACAGAGAAACCCTGTCTCGAAAAACCAAAAAAAAAAAAAAAAAAAAAAAAGGACTGCAAAGCAACAGTAATCTCATGACATCATATTTATCATATTTGAGACAATATTGAGCCCTGCAGAGGTTGTGTCTTAGGATTTTCACCTGGAGGTCTTCCTATCCTGGTCTAATGCTATAAACAGTTCTTAGACCAGACTACAGAGCAGAGGAAACACCCAAAGGTCGTGTGCACTGCCGCCATGCCCTTCTCTCCATCCTCCGCACTGTTTGCATGTCTGAGTTTCAGAGAGGGATACAGAACCCTGATAGGAATGAGAGAAGAGAAAAGCAAACGTCACAGCATCACCTGCCTGCCGTAAAGGCATCAGACATCTGCAAGAGCCAGCTCCCGTTTTGTCTGTACCTAGAGAGATGCTCAGGCACATTCACCTGATGCACTATGACCTACCCTCCTCTCCCATCAATGCAGACCAATGTTGACCTGCCTAGGGATCACCCAACACTTACATCCAGCCTAACATTGTCTTGTCTACTTTGGGAGTTTGGCACCTGTGTCACCTCAGCTCCAAGATACTCACTGACATCATGAAGAAGTTATTGTTCTCTGCCTCACCCCTTCGTATACACACCCACCCTCCCTACCCTGTCCTCACCTCCACCAGTACATAGACAACGATGTTCCCTGCATGCCTGAACACGTGAGAATAAATAAATAGGGTTTTTAAAAGGTTTTAAAGAAACAAAGACGAAGCTAGTCATAGTGGCACATGCCTGTAATCCCAGCACTAAGAAGGCAGAGGCAAGAGGATTGTGAGTTCCAGGCCACTTGGTTGTGAAGGGGTTAAACTCTCCCACCCTCACAACTGTATTTAGGTTTGAGTCCTCTGAGAAGGGCAGGTGTCTCTCCCAACAAAGGGCCATTTTTCCCACAATACTCTTGTATTCAGGGACCAGGGAGAGAGCAAACACAAGACCCTGGTCTGCCTCACAATATCTCAAGGACAAATCCAGCAGTCTCCTTCTGAGTCCAAAAATGACAAAACTCAACCTCAGTCCATTAGACGTGTACTAATGTAACTGCTGCTTGTTTAACCAATCATATTTGAGATGATGTAACTGTCCCTGAGCCTCCCCTTAACTGTGCTTAGAAGGAGCTCCTCTTCGGGTCCTCACCATTTTGTACAGGTGAACGACCCCACATATCCTGGTATAATAAGCACTCTTAACTCTTACATTCTATTTGAGTCTGGGGTCTCTCTTCAATGTTTCCTCAGACCCTACAGTTGCACAGTGAGAACTCCTCTCAAAAAAGAGAGAAATGGCATGGGGCAGGAAGTAAGGAAGAGAGGGAGAGAGGTAGGGAGGGAGAGAGGAAGGGAGGGAGGGAGGGAGAAAACCAATGAACTGTTTGCACTTGCTTTCACCTGTTTTATTGTTTGACTTGGCTGGTATTTGTTTTTTGTGGTGAGAAAAATGACATGAGCTCTACTTTTTAGCAGGCATTTAAGCACAGGACGGTCCAGATCATAGGGATGGTGCTATCTAGCTGATTTCTGGAGCTTAGCATCCTGCAGATCTGGGATGGTGCTATCTAGCTGATTTCTGGAGCTTAGCATCCTGCAGATCTGGGATGGTGCTATCTAGCTGATTTCTGGAGCTTAGCATCCTGCAGATCTGGGATGGTGCTATCTAGCTGATTTCTGGAGCTTAGCATCCTGCAGATCATAGGGATGGTGCTATCTAGCTGATTTCTGGAGCTTAGCATCCTGCAGATCTGGGATGGTGCTATCTAGCTGATTTCTGGAGCTTAGCATCCTGCAGATCTGGGATGGTGCTATCTAGCTGATTTCTGGAGCTTAGCATCCTGCAGATCTGGGATGGTGCTATCTAGCTGATTTCTGGAGCTTAGCATCCTGCAGATCTGGGACTTCATGTTTCTCCCACCACTCACAATCTCTGGCAGCCATAAGAGGTGGCTACTTCAGATACTTCATATATGCAGAATCCTCAGCATATATGAAGGGTTGGGATCACAGAGTTCCCAACCAGCTTGGGATACATAGCAAGATACATGATCTGGGATAATGGTGTGGTAATGGTGACCTGAGGAGCCAGAGGCAGCTGGATTTCTGTGAGTTGGAGGCCATCCTGGACTACAAAGTGAGTTCCAGGGCAGCAAGGGCTATGTAGAGAGATGCTGTCTTAAAAACAAAAACAAAACAAAACAAACAAAAAACCCACCAGAATCCTGCAGTATTTGTCTTCTATGACTGGCCTATTTCATTTAGCACAGTTCCCTTGAGGTTTATCTAGACTTGGTATACAATGGAATTTCTCTTCCTTTCTTTGATAATGACCATCTCAACACACAACAGGGGTTAAGTCATGGCTCGATGTGGTTTTTATTTCCTTGATAGTCAGTGATATCAATCATCTTTTTGCATAATTATTGGTCATTAATGTGTATTCTTTGGAGAAATGTCTCTTCAAATTCCAAAATTGAGTTGGGTGCGCACGTCTTTAATCCCCACAGCCAGAAGGCAGAGAAGTTGATCTTCCAGTTCGAGGCTAGCCTGGTCCTCAGGACAAGTTCTGGGATAGCCAGAGCTACACAGAGAAACCCTGTCTCAAAAAAAAAAAAATGACAACAAAATCCCAACCCTGGATAGTAAAGTCAGGGTTTTGTTTTGTTCTGCCTTGTAAAAATTTCTCACATATTGTGGAAATTACCACATTATTAGAAGAATAGTTGTATTTTCTGGCATCCAATGGTTTACCTTTTCACAATATTGATTTTTTTGCTTGCTATGCAGAAACTTTTTAAGTTTATGTGACTGACACCCAGGGCTTACTTTTGCTTTTGTTGACTGTGTTTTAGTTGTCACAGCTATGAAATCATTGTGAACATCAATATTGAAAATTGTTTTGCCATTTTTCTGGTAGTTTTACAGCTTAAGGTCTTCCACTTAATTCATTAATCCATTCTGAGTTTATTTTTGTGAGTGATATAAAATAAGGTTTCAAGTTCATTCTTGTTCATGTGGACATTTTTAGTTTTCCAAATATCATCAATTACCAATACCATGTGTCCTTTCTTCATTGCGTATTCTTGGCACCCTTGTTCAAGTTGAGTTCATCTGAATATATGAATCTATTCCTTCAACCGGCCATTGTATCTGTCGTTATGCCAGTGCTGTAGTTGACAACTGTAGCTTTGAATTTTGAAGTCAGTGAGTCTGGTGCCTCCTGCTTTTTGTTTTTCTCAATTTGTTTTCAGTTTCCATATTAATTTTAGAATTGTTTCTTATTTTTATCAAAATCAGACTTTAATGCAACTGCTCATAAACCATAAAATTATTTTTTGGAGGTATTCAAGATCAGGAACCAGTGTGAGTCAGACTTTGGATGACATCCTCATGTTTCAGTGACTTTCAACCCACAGAAAGATCAGCAGTCAAGAGAAGCTAAATTTTGGGGGAGTGATTGATGATAAGCAAACATCAGTCCAAAGTGTAATCTATTTTCATGATGTGAGAATGTCTTCAGAATTCATAGGAAAGAAAAAATGGAAGCAGGTACCCAAATGCCACCCCCCCCAGTCTCTCTGTAGGCTGCCATCCCCAGGGCGCAATTACTGGGGCTTCACATAAACTACCAACAATTCCATGTCACCTTTAGACAGACGAAAATGCTGCAAACGTATGTTCTTAAAATCCTTACCTACAAGCCTATGGGACGAGGCCAGAGGACAGAGCAGGACACTGTCATAACAAGGCTGTCCCCTTGAGAAAAAGAGGGAAGCAATTTCTAGACACCTGCAAGTTATAGGTAACTGTCAGGAATTACTGCTTTAAAATATAGCCATATCTAAGCTAGTTTATCTTTCGTTCATAGTAGGAAGCATTAGAGTCCAGCTAAACTATCCGTGCATTTGGGTTATATACTAGAAAGTGCTGTGCCATTTCTAGATA